CTCTCTCTCTCCCTCCCCCCCCCCCCCCCCCCCCCGCCCCCCATTTCTTCTGAAAATGAACTGCATTTTCATTTCCAGAAAAAGCAATGTAGTCCATAGAACCAAAGCCAAATGAGAGAGAGAAAAAAAAACGCAAATCGATATCTGACAGAGAACTTGCAGTGCATTGAAAGACCTGTGCTAGTTTCCGTACCACCTCCCAGGCAAGCATTGTCGGTGGGTTTTCCGTTCCACGCCATAGACATGAAGTTATGAAGTTGATGAAATTTTGTAGACACATACATGGCAACTATGAGTCATCATCCATCGAGCGACAAATGCTCAACATTTCTCTTTCAGAACAACACTACACCTGGACACCATAGACCATACTCATTCTTCACGTCTCAACTCTCGGGCATGGCACGCCTCATGTCACTGCAAGGATTGCCCAGATAGAGAGCAACATACCTATTCTTTGAAGTTTCACCTATTCTGCAATCACCACCTCAACCGCCAACCACTCAGTCTTGACTCTCGAGTGCAGAGGCATGCTTATCTTACTGCGCTCGGTCCCCGCGAAAACGCGGCCGAAACAGGTGCTTGAATTCTTCGGACTGCCAGTCAGTCGAAATCTGTGACAGACTAAAACACTTAGTCGGTTTGAGCGAGTCGGGAACTCAAAAATGGACAGACAAAGTCTTCTCCTCAGTCTCCACTCTTGCCCTTCATAGCAAAGGGCATTAGATCTAGAGAGGTAAAAGGTGGCGCTCGTTCCCATCCTGCATCTTTCCATTTACGGAAAGAACATGAAGGGAAAGGGAATGATAATCAAACAATGTCGACGTAGGGAGAGATTCCAACCAAATGATTATCAAACAATGTCGACGTAGGGAGAGATTCCAACCACTGATCGACATAACGAGAGACAAAATGCAACAGGGATGGGGGCAGTCATCAAGAATATCCCTCAGTGCTCCACATTACCAAAGATGCACCCCATCCACACCTGCATTTCAAGCTATATACCCCTTCTCCATGACTGATGTGAGACACATTCACCCCGAGATTTCGTTCCATCATTGCCCATCTAGACATGCCCAGCTAGACATATATACAGTATCAGATACTTGCCATCGTTCTTCATTTCCACCACTCTTACCCCCACTCCACTACCCCACCTACCCCTCCCATCCCCCCACCTAGCCAGTGCATGTTTAGCAACAGCCGGTCTGGCCCGGTCACAAGTTGGTGTCAACCTTAAGATGGTCATTTCTCACCAGTGATTCAAACACCATCTCTCTCTCTCTCTCTCTCTCTCTCTCTCTCTCTCTCTCTCTCTCTCTCTCTCTCTCTCTCTCTCTCTCTTACAAGCCCTTGATTGCCTCCCTTGGAGCAGGGAGAAGAATTTGGGGGATATGTGTTGGCACGCGATGCAATGTTTCAGAACACGAAAACGCTCGCAAAGCACTGGCTGCACAACATTGCACAGAGAAGAGGACTACAGGGCAGGAACTGTAACCGGCAGCATATTTAGGCGTACAAAAAATTACATTATCATTTTGGGAGACATTGGGAACTAATGCTGACCATCTTTGAAATGATCCAAAGGGAAGAAACGTCAATTTGGATTTCTGATTTCCACCTACCTAGGTCTTATTTCATGCCCGCTACCGTCTTCACCCGAATAAAACGCCGCCCGGTCATTATAGCCGTATTCGGGGCAACTTTCAGACCAGATGCAGCGACAATGACCGGGCGTTTTATTTGGGTGAAGACGGTAGGCATGGTGCTCTGGCTTTTCAACAAGGCATTGTTCTCAGAGGTCGTCATTTGGCGTAAGGAGTACTACGAAATGTGTTGCGTCAACTGATGATGACGAACGTGAACTCAAACTCCAGAAGAAGTTACACAGTGCCCAAGACATCATATGCCGAGTCGGTTGTGTGGACAACCTGCATTTCCAAATCCTGCGATCGGGGGCAACCTGTCTTGACTGCCCCTCTGCAGTTTGCCACAAAGTTGCACAAACAGCAAGCAGCTATCTTTCATTCATGACCAAGGAAAAAACAGTCCTCACATGCAAACAGACCCTTGGTCTTTTTTGCTAGTGCTATCTATTCACTTCTTTGCCAGCGCAAACAGATACTTGGCCGTTGAAAGCGGGGGAGGAGGCCCATGACAGAGGTGGGAAGGCAAGGACAGGTGACTGACACAGAACGAGGAGCATGAGGAGGTGGAGAAGCACCATACGCCGACGATGAGTAAGCCATAGGGATGGCGGCAGCAAACCCCATGGTTGAGAGCGCCTCGTCTCGTCTACCCCTCCACAGCGCAGTTAATCTGCTGAAGCATGAGCCTAATTGACCCCCAATCATGTCGTCGCTTCCTTGCTTTCCGTGCAAAATGTCCACAGGTGAGTCCCTGCCAATGAGGCAACACAGCCAGACAAAGACGGCAACGAACCAGCGAACACATAACACAGGAAACCAATGAGGCTCCACGACTCACCACACACACAAAAGACAAAAAAAATGGCCGTGCATCTTCCCTTGTTCTAGCAGAAGATAGCGGAGTGAGGCCCCAAGACGAGCTGCAGTTGGCTGTGATATATTGATGCCACTTCCCTGATATACATGGGAGCTATGAGTCTGTTCGTCCTGCCAAACACCTAAGCCTGCAGCCTCCCGCCCCCTACTGTCTTCGCCCGAACATAACGCACATCTGTTGTAAACAAATACAATGCATCGGTTGCTTTCTATTTGAATACCATGCACACATGTTCTATTCGAACACCTGATATATTTCGAATACAAAATATGTGCTCTATTCGGATCATTGATTTTTTTTTGAAAACTCGAACACAACGCATAATGTTCGGGGGAAGACGGCAGGTCCCATGTAGTGACGGTATACAAAGAGAGGCTTGACAGTCAAGGCACAGAGCCCATGGTGGTTCACGCTTCATGCAATGCAGACAACCTGCAAGACTTTTGCCTGCTTGTTCTGCTGAACTTAAAAAGAGTTAACCTTTGCACGTTTCCGCAGTAATCATACAACCATCACAGAGAACATTCCCAACTTACTTGAACAACCAGTTCACCCAAGCCTATTTTGTCAAACCCAAAAAAAAAAAAGAAAAAAGAAAAAAACACCAACCAACCTCCCAGCCCTTTGGGACATCGGCTGAAATTGGAACGATGCAGAGAAGATTAGCCTGGCCCCTTCGCAGGGGGTGAAACAAAAAGAAAAAACAAAAAAAAAAAAACCAACCTCCCAGGCTTGCCAAGCCTGAAACATCACTCCTACAGCGTCACACCGACTTCGCGTGAAATATGCGTTCGGTTTGGCGCAAATATTTTTGACGGGCCAAACTTTTTTTATTTTATTTTTCATTTCTGAATTTTTCCCCATGATGAGGCAGAAACTAGAATAAAGAATCGCCAAAGTTGGGGTACTCGGAAATTCGCACACCCCCCGGTACACCCCCCCTTTGGTCCAGAAGGCCGACCCCGTGGTTTTGCTCCCTGTATACCAGCAAGAGTGGGCTCTGAGGATTGACACAGAGTCAGAGACGCTTTGCGCGCGCCTCAAGCACGCCTGCTGATTTTACTGTTAGGAGGTGCAACTCGGCTCGGGTGAACTGGTGGTTCAATCCGGGTAATGCCAGACACGTCACAGAAAAAAAGGTTTCTGTATCTTCCCAGAATAAGGCAGCAGAAGGAATTCGATGCCAGGAACCGAAAGCTTGCACCAGAAGTTCGACCTCGGCGGGCCTGTCGGACCCTGCTTCCTTGTGCCCGTGAAACGAGTATGGACACCCCGGAGGGCTGAGCCGCAGGAAACCAACTTCGGGCGAAGGCAGGCAGGTAAGGAATCTTACTTAACTTTTTTCAAACATTTGCTTCCTCGTGCCCGTGAAACGAGCATGGACACCCCGAAGGGCTGAGCCGCAGGAAACCGACTTCAAGATTGGGCGAAGGCCGGCAGGGAAGGAATATTACTTCACTTTCTTCAAACATTCCTTGAGAGCATCAGGGAAATATGAATTTGAGCATTACAGCAGGAAGGAGTACAGAGTATTTTTCGACTCTTCCAGCGGGAAGCACAACAGAACTGGACAAACAAACAGAAGCACAAAATAAATGAGGTTGCCAGTAGCAGTGCCCATGGAGTCACTGTGCAGCAGTGATGAGTGAGCGGCATTCAGAAGCATACCCGTGCTGCTGATGACGAGCTCCCTGAGACTCGTTGCGAGCCACAGTCGGAACTCTCATCAGAATCTCGTCGAAACAATCTTTTCTTCCCTTGGTCCTTTGATGGTGTCCCTGGAGACAATGATTCCTCTCTCGCCAATCTTGGCGCCTTTCTCAGTTTGAAGCCCTCAGCGTTCAGAAAACCTTGGCACTTCAAGCTGCCACAATGACACCGCTGGATATTCCCATACCCTACGAACCTGGCTCACACACACACACACACACACACACACACACACACACACACACACAAATACATGGAGAAAGAGAGAGAGAGAGAGAGAGAGAGAGAGAGAGAGAGAGGAGGACACAAGAGTGAGTGTCAGGAAAAGGCAGCAATGCGTGTGAAATACAACGATATGACAGAGAGGCAAAAGACCCGGAGGTAGACACAGGGAGAGAGGGAGAAAAGGGGGGGAGGGGAGTCAGGGAGACAAAAGATTTCTTCAAGGAAACCTAAAAGACTAGTAAAAGTTGATAAAGACATAGAAGAAGAAATGAATGCCACTTGCACATAATAGAACCCAAAACTGAAGATAACTTGATAAGTAATAAGATAGTGTACATTTACGAGAAAGACTTCTGGAAAAATGGCTAAAATTTAAAAATAATAGTAAAATTTTACATTTGCTAAAAACTTAGTAAAAGCCATTGTCAACTAAGTGTATCTTCTCTTTTCTGGATGGCGGCTGGTCAAATACAAAAGTCCTTTAGGGCCCAGTAAGACATTTCCCAATTTTTGAGCCGCCTTTCGATGTTGACCATTATTTCCTTTGCAGTGTCCAGTTTTGGGGGTTATTAGGTGGAAGTGGGATGAATTTCTTCCAAGCTTTATGTTTCCTTTATATCGTTCGTCTCTCTGGCTCTCCTCCTCTTCTCCACCTTTCCATGTGTCTATGCATGGATCTCGTGTCTCTCTGTCACATATGTAGTACGAGGACCTCTGTAAGTAATTTAGCATACAGAGGATCACATACTACACATAATGACAGAGTGACAAAAGATACATGGGTAGGCACAGGGAAAGGAGGAGAAGAGGAATAAGGGTCAGGGGGACAAACCATATCAAGGAAACATAAAACTTCGGAAGAAATCCATCCCAATTCCACCTAATAAACCCCACACCTGGACACTGCAAAGAAAACAATGGTTAACGACGGTACCTGTTGCAGCTTCTCCATGAAGGAAACGGGTGCAAATGACGACAGGTAGGGGTTTGTTGGTCTGGTGTGGGTTTGGGTGGGGTCGGGTTGGTTTTTAGGATCACCTGTGCGTTGTTGTTGACACTGCCGATGAAATGCTGCTGCTGCTTTGTAAGCCCTCGATAGATATTTTTCCTTCTTTTTTTTTCGTTTTTTTGTCCTGTCAAACACCTGATCACAGTTTGCAATCCTTTCAGTTGTGGTTTGCTGGGTTGGTGGTTGCTCGGATTTGAACTCACCTGTTGTGTGTGTGTCACACTTTGCATACTGCCTACCGCTAACCAAAAATATTCTTTCTCAGATGTCGGGAGATATGCAATTCTGCGATCGTGGGGTGGAGAGAGGGGGGGCGGGCGCGCAGTTAGTTAGGTTGGGGTCTCTCTCTCTCTCTCTCTCTCTCTCTCTCTCTCTCTCTCTCTCTCTCTCTCTCTCTCTCTCTC